ACATACGCATGATGCAAGAACTCATTGCCTTTTTTTGAAGCAGGAAATCAAAAACTGCTCTGACATTTAGTATGGTTATATAACTTATCAATTATTCCTATGAAAGTAATAAGACATTTTCTTTTTTGATTGGATTTTTACACCGATTTAATCAGAAGTGTAGATTAAAAACAAGCAGTCATTGCACTAAATGTTTCTACATTTTGGTTTTGCTCTTTTAACATAAGTGTTTTAGGCAGCTATCATCTGGTCAATTAGTCAAACAATCTACTCTGTTACCCAACCTGCAGTCATGGTTTTCCAGATGTAGTTGTATAATGATTTTGTTGATTGCATTTTTATTTTTTATTTCTTTTACATTCTCCTACAGATTTACAGCAAGGGATCTGCTACCTTTAAAACCCAAAGGGCCCTTTTACCCTGAGTCCAACTCAATAACAGTCGCTGGGGCTCCCATAAGCTTATTATGCTTGTTAAATATCTGCTATAGGAGATCTGTTTCCATTTCAAATGACAAAGAGTTCATTTATATTTTTAGGTTTTAGAATACGGACAAACAGAAAATGTACCATAAAGATGAAGCATGCAGTTTCTTCTAAAAATATGATTCACTCAAAAATATAATTTAAATAAAGCCTAAAAACCCATCTGTTCAAGACTTCATACATCCACTGACTACCAACTGTTTTTAATTTAGTGTACATTATATTACCGTATATTATATTGTATATTTTGATTGTTTGTTGTACAGTGTCCTGATGAGCGCTTTGAAGGAAATGTATTATTATACATTTTTGGAAAATAATGTAATGAAAAAAAACGAAACGGAGATACTGTTGGGACTAAAAATAGATTAAAATAGATTAAACAAAAACGCAGTCATGGTTCGATTAATGTCATTATTTTGCGAACATTTTGTTCAAACCTTAAAGTCAGGTATTTGTTATACTTGATTCAAAACTATTTGTTATTTCTTTATCATTTTTATATACTATTAAGAACCATTGTAGAGGGTCCAAAGAGGGACACCAGGAACTTTTGAGCGACAGGTTACAGACCTCTGATTTACAGAACGGCAGCAGAAATCATGTAGCCAAAGACTGTTACCTGCTGGAATGAATTTCACTTATGGGTTCGGTTTCTTTTCATAATTCTGTGTTTTATGCCAACAGGATAAACATGTTACTTACCGTAACTCCTCTGCTTTGGTTTAATTGGTTCAAGATTGTTTCCCATGGTGAATGTGAGATGGCCCTTTGTGCTGCTATTGGTCACGTGTTTTCTTTTTAGTTTTAGAACTCTCCCATGGAGGCCATTTTTTTCTAGTATCTTTTCATTTAGTAAGCATTGATCTAGGCAAGTGAACCCTACATAGTTGTAGTTGATTGTGATTCCTTTGTGACCTCCTTGAGTTTTAGGTCCTATCCACATCGAGATAAGATGAAACTTCAAAGTTATTTGGTTGTTTAAGCTGTGTATGTAAAGAGAGCATGCATCTTTGAAAAGCTGAAACGGTCCCAAAGTGGAAAGATAAGAAAATGGCCAATTTTATATTTCAGCGTGTACGAAAGCTGCATCTTTTTCTTTATAATGAGGAAGTCATGACTTAAACTACCTCTGTAAGTTGCATGCTCCTCTTTACTGCCATATTGCTGTTTAACTTGCATTAGCTGTCTGTGCTAGCCTGATAAACCAGACTAAATGTGAGATTAAATGTGTAATTAAGTCTGGCCCCGATGAATGAGACATCCGAAGATTGTTGATGAGAACAACCCGTTGTTTTTCAAATCATGTCTGTGCCTATTGGCCAACGCTCTGACCAATGAGCGCAACTGACTGTAAGCGCGACAGAAAGCTGGTGGGGGAGTGTAAGCAAACAGCCTGTCGGTAAAACAGCGAATACATCCTTCTTAAAAATGAATGAGCATAGAGCCTGTTCCTAATCAAGTTTCAAAGAAAACCCCAAGTCTAATCATTCCAAAACTGATTCCAAAGCTGAGTCAAAAATCGGCATCAGAGCCAGCGGTCCTTCACACACGACTATGCTGAGAGGGCCCTGGCTGCCGTTAGCCTCGGAGGTCCGCTGGTTGCCGTGGTCCTTCCTAACTTCAGAAACTGTTTTTTTAATTACGCATTAAATCGATAAATGGACCATATAGTGATGCTTTAAAATATACTATTCTCGTCTCAAATTATCTTAAAACGTTCCTTTGTTGAACAACAGCAACAGAAAATAGAACTTTTAACATTCAATGGTGCGCTCCATTGAAAGCTGCTCCTGCTGCAGTGCATGCTACTGTTCAATAGTTGTTGTCATCTTCCTTGTTGTGTTTTCTCCTGCGTCGCACAGCTTTGTCATCCCGCCCTCAAAACCCCGCCGCCTTTGCATCCAGAAATTCAAATCTCTGCATTGTGATTGGCCTGCCAGTTCTAGAGCCTTTGATCGAGACTAGACCAAACTCACAGGCAAAAAATTATTTTGGCCGCTGGAGGGTGGGGCTAGTTTACTAGGCTGTCTGTGCAGTTTTCGCAAGCTAAGTTCACATGGACACAAATAATCTGATTTAAAGCCCGATCAGATCAAGAAAGTTTCATTAAAAAATGTCAGACTGAAGATTCTAATCTGATTCGGTCCGATTGGAGAGAAATTTCATATCGTTTGTGAGAGACTTCTTTTGAAGTTCGCCATTCTGATTGTCGTTCATTTACACACCAATTCTGATCTTTGGAGTAAAAAATCTCCACTTCACAAGTGTGCAACGTCAGCATGACATTTTTACACGAAATTAAAATTTTGGCGGATTCCTAAACGATTTAATCTGATCGAACACTTTGTACATGTATACACACGTCATGATCTGATCATTCATTTAAAAAGAGATTTTAAATCTCTAGATTGGATTGGGGAAATGTTCTGCATGTAGCTACTGTTTTTGTTGGTGGGTTGTGTGATTCTGTGGCAGTGTGACAGCACCTCCAAATGGCCTGGCATATGTACTACAGCTTTTTCTTTGGTGCAGTTTACACTTGTGTGGAAGCAACACTTTTGTCTTTGTATGGATTAGGATTAAAGCCATTTGAAGTAATTTTGGAAGGTAGGGCAATCCTTGAACACTTGTCTAAAATCCCAAAGCTTTAGTAATGGTTTTAATACCCTATCCAGGCTGAGGTGGATCTTGTTGGATTTGATGTTGTCAGACAGGTTTAATTTAAGGGATTCTTGATTGTACAGGTCTAAGATCCATCAGGCCAGGGTGCGGCTTGTCAAATTGCACTCAGCCTAGGAATTATTTTGATCACAGTAAATTAGTATTTAGATCACTTTTTTCTAGATTTATCTAAAATATTCAACATCATTCAGTTACCTGCTCATGCATTAGGAAGGACTTTCCTTTTTTTCTCAGGCTCTTCAGGCTCCCTTCAACAAAGTTGCTCAGAAACTGTGAGACTTTCATCACCATCGTTCACACACACTCCACCCTTCCCTCCAGGGTCAGAGAGGAAGAAGGGTGACTACTCTTAAAACAAACATGTTTTTTCATGCAGAGGACAGAGCAGTTTCTGTGCAATTGATTTTTTTTGGTGTGTGCTTTAATTCAGTTTCTGTAATCCTTTCTACTCTCTTTGGCAAAAGAAGTTGACTTAAAGTCGATGTTTTATCATTTTTTTTAATAAGTCAACACAGAGATTTCAGCCCGATCACCGTTCAGCCCGATCACCTTTAGCTTTGATAGTGAATTTTATTTATAAGCAGTTTTAAAAGATAAGTATTTAAATCTTACACTTTCTGTTACTCGTAAAAAATCAAAAGATTTTAAATATGTGTTGCAAAGGGAAAATGTAGTGAGCAATTTATGCTGAGAGAGAAAGGAGATAGGATACCCAGATAGCAAAGGGGCATTGGTAATTGGGATGAGGGGAGCTGCAGTAAAGCACCCGATAAAAATGCTTTTGAGAGACATCTTTGCTGAGACAAACAGAAAATGAAGGAAGGGATTTCTAAATGAGAACTGAGACCAGATTTAGATGCAAAACTAAAGCTGTGAGCATTAAATGATTCTTCCCTAAAATGCTGCTTATGTCTGGGTTGAATTGTTATGTTAACTCCTTCTAGTTTAATAGCAATTTTTTAATGATGGTTTTACCACCCATGCAGCCATTTAAACGGATCCTTAGAGACCAAAGTGCAGTTTCTCTCTGTGTGGCTGTGCTGACACACTGACCCAGTCTGCAGGATGCAGGGTAGCCTCTATAACTTCACACCCAGGAGCTACTGGTTCACACAGATTTGAGCCATTTAATAACAAAATTGCATGTTGAATTTAACAAACTTAGTTTGTTCTTTTGTCGTAATATGGTCAGTTAGATCAAAGTAAGATTGTGTTGGACATTTCTTAAACTCATGACCTAAAAAGTTACTCTTAAACTTCACCAGCAGTGAAAACCCTGAAACAATCTTCTTCATATTTTCCAGATTTCCCACATCTTATCAGAAATAGCCATGTTAGGTCAGAGATTGAACATCTGTGCTCTGTTTTATGTCTGACCTAAGGCGTCCTCGCTACAGTAAACCCAGAGCCTGTGTGTGTGTTAGACCTATCTTAATGAGGAAGGTCTACATTTTTACTTCAGTCATTTCCTCAGTCTGTCAGTAGCTTTAATGCTTTCTCTAAGGTCATAAAGTAAATATGCTCTTTTAGTTGCTTATGTAAACTTTACTCTCTGTCATAACATGTTTGTCCAGCACAACATCTCTAAGGTGTTCAATTGGCTTTGCCAAATGAAAGCTGTCAATCAGTTTTCCTTTTAATGCATTAATATCAATGAGACTTTTAACTCTAAAGGTCATTACCAGTTTCATGTGGTGCTCTGACTAAATAAAGAGATGTTAAGGTTTGTGATGGCACCAGAAATGATCTTCTCTTGTGATTTGACAGCAGAAAATAATTGTGTTATCACGCTTTTTTAAAAGTTCCCCATTGCTTTGCTTGTGTTTTTAGGCTCTGCAGAAGTTAGCAAGTCAGTACCTTAAGAGAGACTGGCCTGGAATCAGCCCCGATGACCAGAGAACGGATTATAGGTTGGTTTGGATATATTTTGTTCTTCACCAGAAGAAGAAAGGGAATCTACATAACAAAGTCAGAGTCTTTACCGTATGCAGAGTGGACCTGAACAAAGGCAGACATGCAGTTACAGTGTTACTTTCTCATCAGTCTGGATCCATGTTATGTTGAAATGAGTCATTGAGTTACTCTTAGATTATACAGAATTGTCAAATGTTATCGAAAATAGTCAATTTAACTCAGAGGAAGATGCTTCGAATTTTAAATGCATGAAAAACTAAACATGTATTTGCAGTCTGAAAGTGAGACTTAGGCCCCGTCCACACGAAGTCAAAACGAACACGAAACGCTGATATTTTCCAAAACGTTTGCCGTAAAAACGGAGACGTAAAATAAATGTGAGCGTCCACACGAATGCATTAAAAAAACGCTGCAAAATGTATGCCAGGCCTGTAAGTGGCGCTGTGGTGCCAAAGCAAAAATAAGCGACG